GCCGCAGCTGACTGTCGGTCCATGCGAGAGTAGCAACCGTCATCACAGAGGCACTTTGTATTAAGGCTTCAAAGGGAGTCTGGTAAGCAAGGGTTTAGATGGGGTTATTTTAATAAAGTGAACAACAGTTTGGAAAGCTGAATCCCAATGTGAAGAAAGAACTTTGCCATGAGCAAGAGTATCTGTTATGATTATGTGCTTCTTTAATGCCAATCCATTTTTCTCAGGGCTATAATACGAATAACCACCATAAGATTTTATTGTGAAGATTTTATTGTGAAGGGGCACCATAGATCACTATGAATCAAATCAAAAGCATCATAATGGTGAGACTGAGATAAACTAATATGAAGCTTGTGAGATTTCGATTTGACAAGCACAACATATAGATATTTCAGTCTTGGAATCAAAATCAACATTACAATCACGAAGAGCTCTTTTAACAATATCATAAGCAGGATGCCCAAGCCTAGCATGCCAAACATCTAAGCCTACTTTATTCCTAACAACAACATATACAAACTTAGGGTGCTGAAAAACTTGGTTCTTGAAATGAGTTTTTGTCTTGAGGTTGGTTTTGGATTCTGGAAACTTGAAAGCATAGAGTCCATCTTTAAGGGTCCCTTTGAGCAAGGTTTTCTCTGTGGTTATGTCCTTCACAAGACAAAGGTTAGAGTGAAATTCAAAGAATACATGGTAATCCTTGCAAAATTGACTCAGACTGATGATGTTTTTAGTAATACAGGCACATGTAACAAGTTTTGAAGAAGAAAATTATACTTTAGAATCTGGTGAACAAACTAGTGACTTGCCAACATGATTAATAAAAAGGGTTTGACCATTACCTACCTACACCTTCCCCTATCCAAGATATTCTGAGGCTATGTTGAGGCTTCCCCTATTATAAGTCACATGGTTGGTAGATCTAGAGTAAGGATACCAACATTGATCATCTTGTGCCTCAGAGTTTGTCTAATTAGTATAGTTGACCTTAACATCCCCTCCATCTCCAAAGATCTTTCTAAGCTATCCAGAGGAGGAGTTTCCTGATTGCTGACTTCCAGAGGAGGAGCTGTTGTAGTTTCCAACATTGGGAACAAAATTCATGTCACATCTACAATAAAATTTGTCAGCTGTACGTATGATTATTGTAGTGACAAATTTGGCAACGGGCCCTGAAATTGTGAACCTTCCTCCTCTTCCTCTTGGACTTGAGCTTTTCCCTCTTCCTCTTGAATTTCTAAAGTTTGATTGTCCTCTACCTCGGTTGGATTGGGAGCTATTTCTCTTTGGACTAGACTGTGTGGCCAGTTTGGTAGAAAAGGAATTTTTCTCAAGATCATTAAATGACTCAGGCCTAGCCTCAAAGCTCAAGAAAACAGCTTGTATCTCATTTGAAGTGCATGTTTCAGCTCTTGCTTGAGTTGATACTAAGACAGGATTATACTCTACACCAAGCTCAACTAAGATATACATTATATGGTCCCTTTCACTCAAACTTTCACCTGCAGCTCTCAACAAATCACAACAATTTGACCATTGTGAGGTATTCCCACATAGATGAACTCCCTTTCTTAAGGGTCTGCAACTAAAGTCTATGTTTCATAAAGTTAGCAAGATTTTGACTTGCAAAGCTAGAATGAAAAGAATCCCAGATCTCTGTTGAAGTGTTTAGACCTACTGTGTTTATGAGAATACTTTCAATGAAGTGAAGACGAGATCCATGAAGTAAGCAGCTTGTCTTGCCTGCTCCAAACCAGAAAAGTTGGGTTAACATTTGGTACTCCTTCCAGATCTCCACTCAAAAACTCTTCTGGTGCAGCTTAAGAGCCGTCAAGGACGCCTTGCTTCCATAACAGGTAATTTCTCTCTGAAAGCTTAACAGTGACAAGTTGGCTTTGAGGCTGAATAGTAAATTCAAGATTGATTCTTGGAGGGTCCTGTTGATCGGCCATGATTATATATATATATATATATAATGAAAAGGATTGATAACAAAAAAGAAGCATCAGAGTCAGGTATCAACCTGTCCTAATACCATGTTTGCAAAATAGGAGTAAGCTGGAATAGCATATGTAAAAGGAAAATGTGGCAACCGCCATATTCATTGAATGAGAGAACAATGTGTATATTGTTAAATTATCATATCCCTAACATTGAACATAAACTCTAATCGCCAATCATCAACATAAACTCTAATATTTATTTAAAAATTTGTAGAGTGTACAGATATATAAATCAAATGGTAAACTATTATATTCCATGAAAAATAAAAGAGATAAAAAAATAATATTTGATAATATTTTAATAGTTATTAATAATTGATCAATGATATAATTTATATGATTTATAATAAGAGAAATGTTATAGATACATAATGTTGTACATACATGTGTACATTATGTTCATATTAAGTGGGTCTTACTAAAAATAAAATATCAAGTAGACATGGAGTGTTATGTACACCTATATGTACATTTATTATGTACATGTATCATTTTTCTTATAATAATATGTGTATCACACGAGCTACGTACTAGTTTAATTACAATATAGAGCAGATATTCACATGATATATATTTCAAGAAACAAATTAGGGATATGATAGTTTAACATATATAAATTAAGTACATTTAAAATTGTACGTACGTATGTTTTTCGATTTTATGTTTACACGGGCTACTGCCCTAAAATGTTTAATTACTAGTATATTTAAAAAAAATTAAAAATAAGTATAATTATTATATGTATCATCGAAAAAAGTCAGAAAAAGTAAAACTGTTTTATTAAAAGCTTTGCCAAAAATTATAGTATTAGATTTTTCTTAGTTGATCAACAAATTTACATGAGTCCACTTTAAAGTTTACAATGTGAATTGTTCAAGACCTAACCTCATAAAAGCCAGTCGCATTCATGGTGGGATTCTAGGAATTAATTCTCTTTAAAAAAAGGTTTAACTTTTAAAATTTGAAAAAAAAAAGGAAAAAGAAAAAAGAAAACTAGTATTCGGTGTGCATATGATTGTGTATATTATATGTATGTATATAATATTTACAATCAGAAGTTAGATAATGAGCATATAATATTTTATAAATTTTACTATTAATGAAAATAAACTATATAGTTTTTTCAGAAAATAAACTATATAGTTTTTTTCAGTCGAGTGATTATTGTCAATTAATTAGAAAAGAATATTATTATAATAATTGTACATGGAATTTTAAGGGTTTTGTTATGCCATAATAATAATTAGTTAATTTTAATAAAAAATTACTTAATCAGCTAAAAAAGATGATAATAATCTGAAATTAGTAAATAAAAAATCAGGATAATTTTTTTATATATAGTTCTATATATCATTTATTATAATTTTATGATTCGTTAATATTAGCTATTATTAAAATAAATGAAAATATAATTGTTTAATTAATGCAAACTGTAATAGATTCTTTCTAAAATTAAGTGACAATGAGGGGGAGAAAGTTGGTTTTTGCATTAAATTCTTAGCAAAAAAGAAAAAACATTCATTTGTTCGTTTAAACTAAGTCGAAGATGGACGATATCGACATTGCACACCGTTCATAAAAGCATTGCTCATAGTTCATAAAATCATTTGTTCATTGGGAATATTTAAGTTGATAATGGACGCAACGATGTGGACATTGCACAGAGAATTCGCCTTCTTTACATGTATAATACGAGAAATGTTATGGTCCCATAACGAAAACGGGACTGTAGCATTTCCCGTATTTATAAATAGTTGTATAAATCTATTTACACGTATTGGCACGACTGCACAAATATAAACTTCTCAAAATATTATCCACTAATACTATAGTTTAATTTTCATATCATTATTCTAATTAAATATTTATCATAAAATAAAAAGTGTATTTTATTTATTTTAACTCAGTTCATATTAAGTCACTTTAAAATATTTTATTTCAATTTATTTATTTATAAAACTATATTTCTTCCAGTTGTGTTGAAATTTTATATTTATCCCCTCTATATATAATTCCCGAATGCGCTGAACCTACGTGACTGCTTCTGGTGCTTCGGAATCCCACTTGGCGAAGAATCATGCTTCGTAATTAGGTTTGGACAAATAATATTGATATATTAATAATTAATAATCTAGGTTCGGACATTTCATAAATATTATTTAGCTAACTTAGGTATTTCAATATCACTTGTACTAATATAACCCTTTAATTCCTTATAATTTTACATAGTGAGACACTAAGTGACTAAAATATCCTTGATTTTTGATTTGTTTCCTTCAATTAGCTATTGAATTATAAATGTATTTTAAAAGTTGATAACTTTTGTATTTCTTATCGGTTTTACATATATAATATATCAAATTAATCATCTTTTCATGATCTTCGATTTGACATCCATATTGTATATATAAAATAAATAAATTATATTCATCTTTATAATAATAAAAACTAATAATATTTATTAAAATTTATTTGAAAAATAAAATTATTACTCAGTTTATATATTAATGTTTAATGTAGTTATATGTTGTAAGTTAAAATCATTATTATAATATAATACAAGTAAACAAGTGTCATACTAAATATATAATAATATATAGATATATATTTATAAAAGGTATTTAAATTTTCACCTATTTTTTATCATAATTTTAGATTTAAAAAAAAAAAAATTAGCAAGCACCCGTGTAATACACGGGCGTTGTACTAGTTAGGATTGAATACAACATAAATAAATAAATAATTATTTGTATCATTTAAAACTCACAAAGTTGTAAATAAAAAAAAAAATTATTATAAACCATAAACATGAGAATTTATATTCAAATTTTAATGAGACAAAGACATGTAATGGGCAAAAAAGCTCTCCACACCTATAAGATGGGGTGCCTCTCCTCTATTCAATTACTATTACTACACTCAAATCATTTGCTTTCTTCTGTTTTAATTTATTCCTACACATACCTTCAAACCATTTTCTTCTCACTTTTCATAATGGATTATCAAGGCTTGAGAGTTTTCTCGCATTTGATTATATTTATGCTGCTAAAAGTTGTTTTTGGTGCTCGTGTTAATGTCACTCTGATACCAAGTGCCGTATCAGAAGGCGCGGGTAAAAAAAAACTGAATTTATCGACTTACGAAAACATAATATTGACGCATTTGCGTACTTAAACTTTATTTTCGGTTGGTTTGTTTTTTCAAACAGTTTGCTTGGATGGGAGTCCACCGGGCTACGCGATGGATCAGGGTTCGGGCTACGGATCCTACAACTGGCTTATTTATCTGCAGGTTATTTTTTGCATTGTTAATTTATTTTTCGAGTGTTTGGTTTGTTATTTGTACATTCCATAATTATTTTGCGGTCATTTTAGGGAGGCGCATGGTGCGATTCCCCGGCCGATTGCTATGGTCGTAGTAACACCTCTTTAGGAAGCAGCTCGAAATTCAGTAGCACCATCTTTTTTGATGGCATTCTAGACCAAAACCGAACATTTAATCCAGGTTTGTAATTATGTAGTTTACTATAAATTCTATAATTTAGTTAATATGTTAACGTACGACTTGGTTTTGGATATTTCAGACTTCTACAACTGGAACAGAGTTCATCTTATGTATTGTGATGGCTCCTCATTCCTTGGCGACGTAGATGAAGTCGATCCAGTAAGCATTTTAATTTTACCGTACGTACAATATTTGTACATTTATGAACAAAGAAATGTAACATTTCCACCATCTTGCAAGGAAACCAATCTCCACTACAGGGGCTCGAGAATTTTTAACGCTGTAATGGACGAGCTGCTGGCTAAAGGCTTGGATTACGCCAAAAATGTACGAAAAAAACGTGCATATAAATTCAACATTTTTTCTGTAACATGTTCATAATTATTGTGGTAGTTTTTGATAAATTCTGTATTATTTTAACTGCACCATCAAGGTACTTACAGTGGTAATTAATACTAAGCAGGTGATACTTTCCGGAGGTTCGGCTGGCGGGCTTGCGACGATCTTACATTGTGATGGATTTCGTTGGCTCTTACCTGATGCTCAACGAGTCAAATGCATTTCCGATTCTGGCTTCTTTTTGCAAGCGTAAGCCTCATAATAATTGAAAACTCTTGAATATGTTTTGAAAAATAAATAAATAAATAACTTTATGATGAAAAAAAAAAAAAAAAAATTGCTCATAAGATTTTTCTTTATATTTTCCCTTTTTAAATTGTTTGTCTTGCAGAGTCGATCTACCAGGGGTGGAAGAAAGAGAAGATTTCTTCGCCCGAGTGGTAGAATTACATGTATGATCCGATCCCACTCTTAATTGTTCTGTACATTGAACTCTGCCGTATAAATGATGCTTAAATTCATTCTTTTAGCGCCAAAAAATGTTACCTAGCATATAACGTGTACGCACGCTTGCAATAATTTTATAGGCAATAATTTTCAGTATCTGTTTACGAATTGTTTATTCCATCGATATGCCATTACAGGGACTTGAAAAGATTCTGCCTGTGACATGCACGTCTAGGCTGAATCCTGGTTTGGTAAGCGAGCAATAACAATTAACAAGTTCAAAATGAACGATCGAAATTATGTTGGATTAACTATTTCATTAATCTACACCATATTTACAGTGTCTTTTCCCTGAAAACTTGGTGGGAGACATAGACACGCCATTGTTTTTACTTGAATCATCGTACGACCAGTACCAAGTAAGTTGTTTATCGTCACAACAATATATCTTATTTGAAAGAAACCATGAAAAACAAACAATATTGTTATATAACAATAATTGAATTAATTTGTTGCAGATAACCGAGCAATACACACTGTATATCGGTGGAAGAGATGCTTGGAAAAGTTGTGTGAATGGTAGTTTAACATTCTGCAACTCAACCCAATTGGAGATCTTGGAGAGTATGTAAAAAAGTTGCATGATTTGTTATATTCTTTTGAATAATAAGCTTATATTAAAATCGAACGATTATTCTAACAATCAATTTTGTTTTCTGGTTGTGTGTTGAATATTTCCAGATTTTCACGACACCTTCGTGCAAACATTGCAAGATCTCGATTATTCGACATCGAGAGGCATGTTCGTGCACAACTGCTACAGACACGGCCATGTTCTCCAGAAGGATGGCTGGAAATGCTCGTCTCTGGTCAGAAATGTATTGCAAAATAAAGTAAGAAACATCCTGGTTTTAAATTGTCTGTTTCATCAAATTATTGATTATTATCTAGCTTTTGGGTTTTGTATTCATATTTTTTTTGTTGTTTGTTTTAATTTTCAGACGATTGGGGACGCTGTTGCAGACTGGTATTTCGACAGAAATGATGTTAAATACATAGACGCCGGCTCTGCCATACGGAATTGTAGTAGCAACCTCCATGGAAATATGTTTGAGAGAAAATGTATAGAGTGCATGTGAATATTCTTGAATGTTTTCTTAAGTTATGACTGTTATTTAGGGGGTGATTGGATATGAATTCAACTAGTAAAAAACTAGTTTTTTTTTTTTTTTCTATAGTTAAGTTTGAAAAAAAAGTAGTATGGTTAGTTGTTAGTGAATATATTAAAATAATATTTAAATTAAAATAATTAAAGTTGATTTGATGTAAAGGTAGGAGAAAATGATTGGAAGTGACGGTTAGTTAAAATTATGTGAGTAGATGAATAGTGAATTAAAGTTGATGTGATGTGTAATAATGATTGGTTGATATTATTTAATTATATTAATAATATTGGAGATAGTGGAGTTGAGTTAAAGTTTAGTTAAATTTGAGTTTTGAGTGGAATATTTACTGTACAATTTATAAACAATCATGCCCTTAAATCTCTCAACTGGCTTCTTCTTTTTTTCTCTCTCTCAAACAATTGTTGAAAATGAAATCTAACAACAAATGGATGATATATATAGATATGTATATATGTATGTGTAGAATTGAGATCAAATGAAAGGATGACAGTGAAATAAATGAGAATAAATATAGATCATTGGATACAATGGTTAAGATTAAGTTAAAATTTTGTCAATCATTAATGGCAGTATGGTAATTTAGCATACACATTATGGTCAAATGTACATATTTGACCATTAAGTTGGGATAAAATAGACATTACACATCTCGATGGGTCCCACCATAAACTACCCACAATCACACCAAATAAAAACACAGTACACACACATGCGCGCAACAAATCGGCATCACCACAACAAATCGACATTCGGTAAATCGGCACAACAAGTCGAGCATTGACTTTATCGAGCATGATTGAATTTTTTTTAGTTGCTCGAGCTCGAGCTCGACTCGATAAAAGAATACAATAGCTCGAGCTCGGCTTGAGCTTGACTCGATTCAAAATACTCGAGTTCGGTTCAAAAATTTTCAAGCAACTTTGTAAAGTTACCATTAAGTACATATATTAGCATTCTGATACATATATATACCAAAGGTATTTTAGTAATTTACTATATATCTCGAACAGCTCGCGAGCTGCTCAACAATGTAAAATAAGGGTTCGAGCTTTGGCTCGAGTGCTCGTGAGCCGCTCGATTCGTGAGGACCCTATTCCCAATAAAACTAAGGATGGTATTGCACGGTTTCTTTTATAAAATAGAAAAGCATTGATTTGTTCGTTCCGGTTAAAGCGGACTATGGATGGTATTGCACTCAGGGGAACTTCTGTTGTAGGGTCTGATTTTTTGCTAGTGTCATAGTAGAGTCTAACTCTACCTTTATGTAGTTTTTTCAATACAAAGCCTGAAAGATGAGTAAACTATCAATTCGGGGCTTGAAAGATTTTTTTTCTCAATTCGGGACCTAAATGTTGTAAAACTATCAAATTAAGTCCTACAATTAACAACACTCATAAAACTATTAAATTGAGAGTTAATTTGAAGTGTTAAAACACCAAATCTGTTTTTTTTTTTTTTTTATTATGCAAATGTTTACTTACTATAAGCAACCATATTTTATTTTTCTTCAAATTTGGTGTTTTAAAACTTCAAATTAACTCTCAATTTAATGGTTTATGAGTGTTGTTAATTGTATGACTTAATTTGATAGTTTTATAACATTTAGGTCCCGAATTGAGAAAAAAATCTTTCAGGCCACGAATTGATAGTTTACCAATCTTTCAGGCCTTGTATTGAAAAAACTCTACTTTCTACTTATCATCTTAAGACTCCAAATCACATTGTATTTTGACATAATTATGTAAACCACAATACTTATTTTTTTAATTTTATTTATTATTTTTAAGTACTTATGATAAAAAAAATTAAATATCTTAGTAAAATTAGCTAATAAGATAATTATTTCATAATTTACATTTATGCAAAAGCTTAATGAAATTTATTTTAAAATTAAAAAAAATAATTTTAACTTAGTTTTATTCAAAATATGTGATAACATTAAAAAATAAATTATCTTAAAAAATAAACTAAAGTAGTTTACTAAATATATTTATAATTATTTAAAATATAAATTTTAAAATAAAAAGTATTTTGGTTTATATATTTATGTAAAAATATAAAATTAGTTGATGTCTTAAATTTAGAACTAGAATGTAAACGTAATTCTTTGATTGAAAAAAATAAAAATTCACGTCTACATAATAACAAAAAGTAAAGCCCGAATTGTCCCCGAACATGTTATGATCAAACTATATATAGGTATTGCACACGGTTTTTTATGAAAGAAGAGCATTTATTTATTCATTCCAATTTATAGCATTGATTTTATTCATTCCCAATAAAGCTGACTCAGGATGGTAAGGTATGGTATGGGCAATACGGACATTCCACACGGTTTATAAAAATCATTCTGCTATTTTTTTTATTGGTACACGGACCTTCCGGTTTCAGGATCCACAAAGGAATCAATTAATTCGGAATCGAGCCAGGTAGGACCACAAGAGCGGCAAAAGTTTGCTGCTATTTAAGCTACGATGACACGCATGGACATTGCACGTGATTCATTTATGTTCATTACATGGTTTGAGAATTGAGAAATATCTTGTTTGATATAATAATTCGTATTATTACGATTTTATATATTACGTTACTTTCAAAATACATATTACTTTTTGCCCTATCCTATATAATACAACATTATGCTAAAATAGTTTGATTCCTCTTTTATTTATTGATTTTTCGATATTGTTATTGTTTTTAGTTTAATGATTTCGATAATGATTCCTGCGTGCAACCAATGTTTTGAAAGTCAGGCCCCAAATAGTGACACCAACGGACCTTAAATCATCAGTCACATCAACTATAAACTCGGCTCCAAATAAACCAACACGTATAAATTCGAAATTCATTTATAAGCTATCAACTGATTTATTAGCTATTAGCTAACGTATAAACTATATTACCAAACATAATCTAAGTGGTAAAATATAGAGATATAAACGAGCCAAACCTACCTTGATTTCCTGATACTCAAGCTCGGGCTCGAGCCCTTGTCAAATCAATCTAATAAACGAGCTAGGTTTCATCTGATTTACGAGCTTTAATAACAAGTTGCGGTAATTAAGCAAAACGATATGAATTATGTTAAAAGTGCATAAATATATGCAAAACCTCAATTTATCAGACCTTAATGAACTATCTAATTAAATGTTAATTAAACGAGCCTTAAATAAGCTCGAGATAAATTATTCGAGTTCAAGAGAAATTCTTTTCATATAACAATTATAATTACATGGAGATTTATTATCTTCTTTTAATTTGTAATTTTAGCAATTAATAATTTAAACTTAAAAAGATGAGATGAACAACTCATGAGAGGAGATATGACGTAAGAAATTGAAGACAACTCGGTTTTACTCCTCTGGACTTATAAAAGGGTGCGCCAGCCGTTAAGTTCTATTCGTAGTTTCATACACATTCAATTTTTAACTCTATTATTACTACAAATATGTATATAATTTTATTTTTCTTGATAGGATATTTATTTGAAAACAAATTTTTCCCATGTGTTTATTAATTGTAAATTTTCATATCACCTTTATACAAAATTGCAAGATTTTAATTATTTGAGGGGCATGTTTGTTCACAATTGCTACCTCGTGGCCATCATCTTGTGAACGATGGATGGAAAAGAATGTCGTCAAAAGAAGATGGCCATGTCGGTAGCAGTTGTAAGCAAATATGCATTTCGACGACGAATAATTGAGATTTTGAAATGTTTGTATGAAAGTGTTTGTGAAAATATTAAATTGAATACATGATTTAAAAAAAAAAAAAAATTGGTTGGGAATTTTATTTTATATATATTGAATACAATTTCGTTATCAATTTTACAACTAGTATATTGACACGTGTCAAATTGATCTTTAGGGTCTTCGCATTCAATATTTGGAGTTGGAGCTCGAGCTACATTTGAATTTTGACCTTGGGACGACGCATTTTATTTGATCTTGACTTGAGAAGGAGCTATCGTTGTTTAAATTTCGACTTTTCGGCTGTAAAATAGAAAGTAATTAGCATTTAGATGGGAGAGATAACAACAATTTTGACTAATCAACACCAATTGACATGAATTTCATTAATATAAACATATGCTAAATATAACTCAATATCATTACTCACGAGCAACTATATTAAATATGTGTGTATATTTGAAGGCAGAAAGAGTGAGTTTGTATGAAAGCAATTACATTATTGGATCTTTGTTTATTTCTTATTCTTTTCCTTCTTTTTTTTCTTCATCATCATATTATTATTATTATTATTATTATTATTATTATTATTATTATTATTATTATTATTATTATTATTATTATTATTATTATTATTATTAAGTTTCAAATTAATCCTATAGCAAATCATGTATAGGGGTGGGTAAACTTCAGGCATTCAAAATCTATCTTTTTAAGTACAGAATATTTTTTACTACCTTATCAAGCATGATTCGGATGTATATGGTTTTCCAATGTATAATTCTGCCTTTCTTATCAATATAATTGCCCTGTATATGATTTTTGAATGTGTTGAGCCTAATAACGGTCTCACACGCTTTAGAATCCGATCAATTTTTAAGCTTTCTCATTCGGGTTGAATGGGTGTAAGTACTATCAATCTAAACATAACTAGACATATTCATAAATGTATGGGATATCTGCAATTCTTTTAAACATCATTAATTATATTTTAATATTATTTTTTATTTTACACGCGATTTATTAGGCATATTTTTTTCTAATCTTTTTTTATTCTCACAGTCTTTCTTTTAAAATTTTGAAAAAAAAAAATTGCAAATTTATTTTAAAAGTTAATAATTTTTCTATTTATTTTCATTATTTTTATATATGATATAGCAAATTAATAATCTCTTTATGAATTTCGATTTAACATCTGTATTTTACATACAAAATAAATAAATAATTATAGATAGCTTTATAATAAAAATCATATTACCT